AGCTTCTTTGCAGAGGCGGCATTTGCTGTCTGTTGCTGTCTTCTCAATTCTGGCTTTGTATGCATTTGTTCTTAAGGCTTGGTCTTGTGCAGCCAGAATTAGCCCCTCTTTCTTCAACTTTCCTGCTCTTAGCCATTGCCAGGTGTTGTTGTTATCTGCTTTGTCTGCTAGTTTTGTGTGTGTGTGTGTGTGTGTGTGTGTGTGTGTGTACTGGCCATGCAATACTTTGCCTTCCCATGTCTCTTTTCTATTCTTCATTTGGTCTTTCTTGTAGGCCACTTTGGTCTCTTCAGTATTCAGTAAGCCTTCATGGTGTACTAGCTTCACTGTTCCTGAGATATTCTTCTAATGCCTTTTTTTCTTCAATTTTTTTCTTCAACTTCAACCAGCTTACAACCTTTATCACTATTGACAGTGTTTTATCAACACTGAAGCATGCTAAGCATAATCAGATCTATATGATTCTGTCAAGCCCACACAGAAAACATTACAAGTCACTCTGTATTCACTCTCTCCCTGTCCAGCTGATCTGGAGAGTTCAAAGAATGATATCCTATTAGTGCCCTGACTCCCAAGCTACCATCAATCCAAGAATAATACAAATCATGTTGCATCCCCTGCACACAAAAGAGAACAGCTTATTGTTAGTGTTCCTCACTTTACCAATCCATGTATATCTGCATGGTGGGTTGCAAAAAAAAAAAAAAAGGCTGAGAAGGGGGGGAAATGTTTCATAGAAGCTATGAAATGGGTAACTTAAGCTTGGAAAGTTGTGTGAGACAAGAATTCTCTCTAATGGGAAGATGGACTATCTACATGGGATACAGAATACGAGTTTCTTCCCCAAACCTAAAATGTTGCATTTCATAGGAAAATTGAGTTTAAAATGAAATTTGTTATGCTTTATAATAAAGCAGAACTGGGTAAAAAAATAAACTGACTCAATTTCCAATCAAGGCCAGTGCTGTTCTTTAAGTGGTTCAAAACATCAGTCTGGAAATGCACAATCTGATAATCATCAGGAACAGTGGCTTGACGTGAAGGGAGATGAAATAGAGTTCTGCCACTACAATCCAGTCTTTATTTTCTCTGAGTCCTGCATAACAATGCGTCAGAATAAAAGGTCAGCCGGGGGAGATATAGACAAAACCAAGGTAGTAGTTAACAGACCTTCCTCTTTCCTTCTCTTCATGCATAGTAGATTTAATCCCATCACCATTGAACAAGTTTTGACAGTTCATGGAGAGGCAGGGAAGGACTTTGGAAAACCAGTGAGGAAGATGGGAAGAAAAAGCTAGAGAATTATCTCCAGCTCAGAACTGAATCTGTAGGGAAGAATTTTAGGGCACCTAAAATTCATCTTTCTTTTAAACAAAAGTTTTTCATCTCTTTTGTCAAAGTAAATCATCTGATCCTATAAAAACTTGCCTTTTTCCCATAAATTCCTGGTATTCCTTGATCTCCTTTAGGTCCTCTGTCACCCTTCATAAAATAAATAGATAACTTTATTTTGCTATGCAAAAGAGCAAATTAAATCCTGCAGAATAAGGCATGCAAACATAGCTCACTGTATTTATGGTGACAACAGCCATAACTTAAGATGGTGCAGATGTGACTTAAAATTAATACTTATTTACACTCTGGAAATAAAATGCCTTCATAATTATGCATCCAGACCACCTGCCTATCATGAACTTTTACACCCAGTACTATAAAACATACAGTACCACCAAACAACTTCATGTGAAAGAATAACAACTCAATTTTACTGCTATTGTAGTTCCAATTTGCAATATTTTTAGGAAGTCCGTTATAAAAAATGAATTAAAAATCCAAAAACAAATTCATCTACTAGGGGCATCATCAATGAAAGGATGAGACAATTTGAGCAATATTTCACATAAGATAAACTTTGCACTGATGTTGAGGTGGTAAAATAGACTAAATATTCCAGGCCTTCAGAGGAGGCTAGTTTCAATTATCAGGAGAGAAGAGATGATAATATTGAGGATGGGACCCTAGTATCACAGGCTTGCCAGATAAGGGATAACCATTTAAAATTGGATAAACATCAACCTATATGATGTCACCACTTCCATAAAAATGGTTGTTGACCTCTACTTATCTGTCAACGTTTCAAAGTAAAACATTTTTTCTGTTCTTGAAGACAGAAAAAAACATGGAATAATCACTCCTATATTTTTTATTCTGAATGAGATAAAAAGCACAGGGTTTTTAATTATTATTTTGACAATCCCTTGATTCTTTTTTTTAACATCCTACCCATTGTTACAAGAAGCATTTGGTTTGAACCTTAGATCCTGGAATCCCATGTAATCCAGGGAAACCTGAAAGCCCATGTTCACCCTAGAAAAAGAAAAAAAAATCTCTGTGAAGCAAGTTAAGTAAATGGACAGGATAATAGGAGGTATCAAAAGGCATCATTTCTTAAATGAGAGAAATATATCTACTCCACATGGCTTGCTTTCTAAATGAGAATTACACTACTGCTTCCTTCAGTACACAGCCATTAATTCTTCAGTCTGGTCATGATGCCAAGACATCCTTGAGCTAAGATTTAGCCATTTAGTCTTAGGAAATGAGGAAATGGTATACAAAAACAAATGCAAAGGGCACTGCTTTGGCTAGGAAAAAGAAACTAGAAAATAATTAGCCATCAGCCAGAGGCTCCCAGCAACTGCATTTTAAAATAATTAAGAAATGAACTATATGGAATCCACAAAAGCACAGAGGCCAACAGTCTATGTTGTCCTTTCTAGAACCAGCCCCATCAAAATTCTTGTTGGGGGATATCTTGCACAACAGATACACCATACCAACATATTGAAAACATATTTATAGAGTCACTGTGTAGGATAATGGATAGTAAAAACATCTGACAATTTCAGTGAACTCATGGAGTATGTAGCTGTATGGCTTTATTCATGAAGTCAGTTTAGCAGGTAACTACATATTGCTTGACTGTTCTCCATCACTGCCAGATGTTAAGTTTCCCTCCCTATTTTATTTTTAACTATTGATGATTTATTTGCAAGCTCCTTGACCTATTCCAATAAAACAGCTGAATTGTATCTTGCCAGTATGTGGAGCAGTAAATCTGTACCAGGACATATAAATCATCATCTGGACAGTAAATTAAAGTCCTGGTAATTCACAACTTCTGGAACACTTCAAAAAAAATCTCTACGTGCAATCAACTGAACATAAGCAATAGTCATCAATTTTGTTTTGAAGAAGTAGGAAAATGTTCTTAAATGCCTGAAACTGACATTTTGCAACATCATTTTGTGTAAAAACAAGCCCAGACAGCTTGAACTCAAGTTACTTTAACTCAAGTTTCAGTTCAGATATATATTCTGAGGTAGCTTTGAGCTAAATCACAATGGCAACTAATCTAGGTTCCCATAACTCAATACTTTCTATAATTTTTCCCTCCTTTTCTTCTTTCCTCCCTCCTCCCCCCTTTTTTCCCTTTAAATAAACACATACCATTCTTGTATGTTGCTATTTCCTTGTTGCAGTTGGTTGGATCATAACTGTCATAATCCCAACAATGCCTAACAGGGCTTCAGCAAGTATTAGACTCAATGTAAGTTAGCGTAGCTTTACATTCTCAGAGTGTTTTATAAATCCTAGTACTTCTTATGTCTTTATCGATAGTTATCTACCTTAGTTATCTGTAGCAGGGTTCCTCCACCTCCCTACCCTTATAAAATGAGGGAGTATAATCCCCCAAATTCACCACCCACTCATGGGGGGGGGGAGGTTGGGTG